CCACAACGCCTGGCCATTTTTTGGTTGCAGCCGTCATTGTTGTTTGGCGGGCCCGGGCTGGGGATTCGAACCCACCACCTTAGGTGTATATGGCTGGCGCCTTAGCCACTTGAGCCACAGGCGCCGAGCCAGATACTCCCTTTTCAATTCACTGTTTAGTGCTTCCCAAATTTGCCTCATGAAAAGTATCCCTATCTCAGTGGGTAGGGTGTTGGCCCCATATACCAAGGGTGGCAGGTTTGAACCCAGCCCTAGCCAAATTACAACAAAAAATAGCTGGGTGCTTATGGCAAGCACCTGTAGTCCCAGCTACTCGGGAGGCTGAGATAAGCCCAAGAGCTGGAGGTTGCTGTGAGCTGTAATGCCACTGCACTCTACCAAGGGCAACAAAGTGAGATTCTGTCTCTAAAAAAAAAGAAGAAGAAGAAATGATTTCTGGACCGCTCCCTGGCAGTTCTGACTCAGCATGTCTGGACTGAGGCCTGGAAATCTGTGATCTTTAATAGGAGCTCAGGATGATTCCTGTGATTAGGAAAGTTTGGAATTATTCTCCTGAGTAATTAAATTTCTAAATCAAATCAATTTAGGTAAGCAAACTAATTTTAATCTAAAAAATTATGAAAAGTAGGATTTAGGGAGAATCCTAATTTCCTATTAAAACATTTGTAAGCAAATTTAGAAATCCAAAACAAAATGTGTTTTATTATAACAAAAGTGTTATTTATAGATTCAGCTGATTTGATGAGTAAGAATGATTTATAATTTACATCTGAGGTGTTTTCAATTATTAGATATGAGGACTTGTTTGCTGGTTTCAAAGTGATCACACACATTAGCTCATTTAATTTTATTTATTTAATTTTTTTTTTGAGATAGAGCCTCAAGCTATTGCCTTGGGTAGACTGTTGTGGCATCACAGCTCACAGCAACCTCCAGCTCCTGGACTTAAGGGATTCTCTTGCCTCAGCCTCCCAAGTAGCTGGGACTGCAGGTGCCTGCCACAACGCCCGGCTATTTTTTGGTTGTAGTTGTCATTGTTTGGCAGGGCCAAGCTGAATTCGAACCTGCCAGGTCTGGTGTATGTGGCTGGCGCCTTAGCTGCTTGAGCTACAGACACCAAGCCTCATTTAATTTAAAAAAAAATTTTTTTTTTAATTTTTAAAATTGTTATTGTGTATTAGTGCCAGAGAAAATGAGTACATGAGAAAATGAGCCCATTTTACCTGACCAGTTACTCAAGGTCAAATTATGTGTATAAGTGACTGCGTCTAAAATACTAAAGGTGCTATAATGCCCATCTGAGTTGTAGCATATCCATGGAATCTTTCTCTCTGTGGATGGTAGGGAATAGAGTAATGACCCTGTCTGTCACCTTCTTGAACCCAGAAGTCAAGGACTATAAGCTGCCCATAGCTATAAGTAGCAATGATTTAAATTGTACTTTGAAAGTATACCATTCTTTGGCTTGGAGTAAAGAAAGTACACACCTGTTCTTTGTTTTTTTTTGAGACAGAGCCTCAAGCTGTCCCCCTGGTAGAGTGCTGTGGCATAGCTCACAGCAACCTCCAACTCCTGGGCTCAAGCGAGTCTCCTGCCTCCTCCTCTCAAGTTGCTGGGACCACAGGCGCCTGCCACAATGCCTGGCTATTATTTTTCGGTTGCAGCCATCATTGTTGTTTGGCGGGCCCAGGCTGGATTCAAACCCACCACCTTAGGTGTATGTGGCTGGCGCCTTAGCCACTTGAGCCACAGGCGCCGAGCCCAGATCTGTTTTATTAACTTGCACTCCTGATAAATTCTTATTTTACAGTATAGAACCCTTTTGTGAAATTTAAATAGCTATACTAATGTCAGGTTCATTGCACAGTTATTCTGATTACATGGCATTGATGATTTGTATTTGTATATAGTGACACTTTTGCCTTAAGCAATCTATCTGAATAAATGTAGATGACCTTTAGAATATCACAGAATGACTTGAAAATGGTGCTGCTTGAAAATTTTCTTGATATTTTAGTTATCCTGTATAGCAAATTAAACCATCACCACCTTATTAATACGACATGAAAAGACATTTCAGTTGTTACTTTGTACTAACCAGATTCCTAACTTTTATTTTATTTCTATTTATTTATTTATTTATTTTGAGACAGAGCCTTAAGCTGTCACCCTGGGTAGAGTGCTGTGGCATCACAGCTCACAGCAACCTCCAGCTCCTGGGCTTAAGCGATTCTCTTGCCTCAGCCTCCCAAGTAGCTGGGACTATAGGTGCCTACCACAATGCCTGGCTATTTTTTGGTTGTAGCTGTCATTGTTGTTCTGCAGGCCCAGGCTGTATTCAAACCTGCCAGTTCTGGTGTATGTGGCTGGTGCTTTAGCCGCTTGAGCTACAGGTGCCTAGCCAGAGTCCTAATTTATAAACCTTGAATACTTTTTCTTTTTCTTTTTTTTTTTTTTT